AAAGAGGAGATTTACATACCCAAGTAGTTCCAAAATATCTGATCTGATTTGAGCATCAGTTTTTAAATTTAAGTTACTTAAAATTCACCGAAGAGACAAACCCAGGTCCTCTGTCACACGGGCCGCCTCTCGTATGCTCGGAGGTCCAGTGTAGTGGCCAAGAGTGATTCCCTCACTGTCACCATCATCGCAGAGTAGGGAGGGGCTGCGAGGCTCTGGAACCTGCCCGGCCATCCACTGTGTGTAGGCCTCCTCTGCCGTCACCTCGGCCACCTCCTCTCGCTTCCACTGTACCCAAGCTCCCCACTTGGGCCGGACATCAGGCACGGAGAGGCACAGCGCCACCCTAGGTCACACAGTGGAAGGGGCAGGACCCACAGGGGCCTCGAGGTGGTGCCCAGCCTCCCTTCTTTCCATTCATTGCCCCGAGCTGGGTGTGGTGCTGCACACCTATAATCCCAGCACTCCAGGAGGCTGAGGCAGGAGGGTGGCAAGCTTGAGGCCCGTGTTCCTCTGGGGTGGTTGGATCTTGGGCTGGCTCTTAGGACCACTCTAGGCTTGTCAGAGTTGCCAGCCACTGTACACAAAAAGCGTTCTATCTCCACAGCTTCACCCAAGTCCAGGGTGGTGCCTTCCGTGGCCCTGCCCATCATGGTGGGGGGAGGGAACCCCAAGGGTGGGCCAGGCTGGTGAACGGTGACCCTTGGGCCTGGGGACGGAGGTGGCTCTGAGGGAACTGAACGTTGGGGTACCCCAGGAGCTGCCACTGTTACTATGTGTACTGGGCAGGTGCAGCGCATTAGCTCTGGTGGAAGGCACTCTCCACACTGTAGAGGCTCTGCAGCCTGCCCTGGGGACTCCTCCAGGGCAGGAGACAGACTTGCCCCAGGGAAGGCCGCCCCGGGGTCCCCCCGCCTCCAGCCCACCTCCCTGCTCTCTGGCCATCACCGCTGGGTGTGAGCTTAGATTCCCAGGCCTGGCCCATGGGCTGCACATCGCAGGGTGGAAACCCCAGCGCCCCCACCCCTGTCTATAAAGTGGGGACTCGGGTACCTCCCACACAGGCTCTGCGGGCATGCCAGTGAGTGCGAGCGTGTTGTACGTGGGTGTTAAGCTCTGCGTGTGCGCTTCGGGCACACTTTGCATCTGTGTGCTAAGCGTGTTATGCGTGTGGATGGGTTGTGATGCGCCTCGTGCTTGCATGTGTGTTATATACGCATGTTTCATGTGTGTTGAGCAGTGCCCTTCTTGTGCATGTGTTACTCTGTGCAGTGTGTTACTTTGATTCACAGCTCACAGGGAGGAGTTGATGACGCAGGGTGAGGACACGCTCTGCTGGTGTGTGGTGGGTGCTCGGGCAACGCTGGTGACATCACCAGAGTGTGGCGTGGTCGTGTCCCCTCTCTTGGCCCTCACTGCGCTGGACGGGGCGGCGTTGCCAATGTCCGGGTGAGGACACGGGGGCTCGGAAAGGTGTGGCGGTCACTCCAGCTTCCTCCAGCTGGCCCCGCCCCTCCGCTCCTCGGGGGTCCCTCTCCTGGGTCCTTCCTCTTGAAGACTCAACCCGGAACTCATCCGATGGTTTCCTTGGCAACTGGCCAGTGGGCAGCTGCCCCATGTCGGCCTGCTTTCCAAGGAGACTCAACTCCTAGGCAAAAGGGTCTGCTCCCAGGCCCCGCCTGGCCCTCCCTTGCCCACACTGGACTGCAGCGTCCCCATTGGTCCCCTGGACAAGTGGCTGATGCTGATGTGGCTTCTTTCATAGTGGTCCTGAGGTTTGGGCTTGGACAGGTATGTGGGGTTGTGGACCACAGCTGACCTTCTCTGGGAGGCCACAACAGGGACTTAGTCCCAATGGGTGACCACCATGTCACCTGGCACTGGGTGGCCCAAACAGGCCTCGGGGATGGGGGCTCCCGTGCATGTTGCAGAGGAGGAGCCAGATGCGTGACGGGGCCCTGCGCGGTGTAGGTGGGACAGGCAGGAGAGGGAGAGAGCCCGGCTGTGAGCACAAAGCCGGGGCCTCCCGGAGTGTGGGCCTGAAGTGGGTGGCCTGAGGGCCCCTGCAGAGGTGGGACAGGGACAGGCCTGGGGTTCTGGGAGCCTTGCACTGCAGGGGACACTGGCAGAGTGGAGGAGGGAGGCCAGGTGCCGCCCAGGGTGTGGGGTGCTGGCGACCTTAAGGAGCCCAGAGTAACCCTCATGTGTCTGAAGGGACCCCGGTGCTCGGGGACGAGGGAGGACACAGGGATGTGCTCAGACCCCTTAACTGAAGGACGCACTGCCCTCCCACACACTGCCACCACCCGGCCTGTCCTCCCCAGGCCTACTTCCTGTGACCTATGCAGGCCTGACCATCTACCGACTAGGCACAGCTCCGGGGCCAGGCCCAACCAACTCTCGGAAGTCACCTGGCTGTCCTTGTGCACAGGGCACAGCTCAAGGTCACTGCTGTCCTGTCCTGCTCCCTTCCTTCCTGCCACAGGCCCTGGGCCAGGCCCTCCTGGTGAGCCCTGCACCCTGTCTGTGTCTCCATAGTTCTACCCTTCCGTGCTCCTGGGAACTGGCAGCTGAGTGCCCCTCATGCTGCGTTCTCAGCCTGTGCATTCCCATTGTGGTGCTCTCATGCAAGGTCCAGGAATGTGGCCAGGTGGGCCTGACCCGCACAGAGGTCCAGGGCAGGGGCCTCCTCTGCACCTGAGTAGCCACGACCTTGCTGGTGAGTGTAGGGACCTCGGGAAAATCTGCAGGGCTTTGGGGAAGACAGAACCCTCCACAGAGCCCATATCCTGCTGGGGTGGCCGGTGTGAGCAAAGGGAGTGCAGGTGGACAGCTAGACCACAGCTGGGGCCGGGGAAATGGCTTGGCCTCTCTAGGGGTCATTTGATCAGTGGACACTTAAGTGGTCACAGCTTTGGACCCAGAAAGTCTGCATCTGAGGATCAGTAATAAAGCAATGGCTTTAAAACCAAAACCCGAACAAAACCAAACAGGACTGTCGGTTGCAGAACAGCCAGTTCATTCTTGCTAAATGTTCAGGGACATTTGCTAATCACGTGTCAGACTGCTGGCAGCATGGTCACGGTGGGAGGATTTACACCACTGAAATCAGCACTTGCTACAACCCAGAGCTTTGCTTCTCTGGAGAGCTGGTTTGGCAGCTCACTGCTGGCTCCTTCACTGGAACTGTTTGGGTTTACCACGTGTCTTGGTTGCTTTCCTTGCTTTGAGTACGCTCGTCCCATGGTCTTTGCCACTTTGTGCAGCAGCTCTGGAGCTCTTTCCTGCGCGTCTTAGGTTGCACAGCCGAAGCTGCCTTGGTGTCCTGACTTAATTCAAACTGTTTCCCTTTTGTGGTCATTGTGACTCTGGGGAAGAGCCAGGAGTTGCACAGCACCAGACCAACGAATAAGGTGGACGAGGACACAGTGTCATGTTTTTTGACGAGCCGCCTTTCTGTTGGATGGTGCTTGGCAGCACCATGCATTGTATGGACGATCAACGTGGTCATTGTGACTCTGGGGAACAGCCAGGAGTTGCACAGCACCAGACCAATGAATAAGGTGGACGAGGACACAGTGTCATGTTTTTGACGAGCCGCCTTTCTGTTGGATGGTGCTTGGCAGCACCATGCATTGTATGGACGATCACATCTTGTAAAGCTCAAGAAAGATGATCTCCAGAACTGCTTCAGAAAGGGGCAAGAGCAATGGGATAAGAGTGTTTGCAGCCAGGGGAAGGATCGGGGGTGGGAATCTGTGACACAACGTCTTGCATTTATCCCTGGTCTTGAACTCACTACGTAGCCCAGGCTGGCCTCAAACTTGCGGTGACGCTCCGAGTGCTCGGATTACGGGTGTGCACCACCACTCCTGGCTGGGGCTAACGGTGAGAACTCATCCTTCCACCTCTGCCACTCCTCTGCAGCGGGTCACACTGACGAGTTCCACACCATCAAGGTGGATGCTGTGCCCCGCTCCCGGAGGTAGCAGGGAAATTTCCAAGAGCAAAGTCTAATTTATCTGGGTAGCTGTGTCCCTTGGGCAGTGGTTCACGGGTCTGTGCCTCAGTTTCCTCATGTAGAAAACGGTATGTTAACTGATGCATGAAGTTCATCCCTAAACCAGGCTCACGCAGTAACTACATAAGGGTTCTTGTGTTTTCTGAGGCCAGGCGTTTAGCTGGGACAAAATGAGGACCGAAGGCTCTGTTCCAAGTCTGCGGCTCGGCTAGGGGTCTTGAAGCTAGGGGAGGGGCCAGGGCTGGGAACCCTGACATAGGGCTTCTCCATGTCACCTGGGCATCCTGTGAGAGCAGCTGCATTGTAAGGGTGAGCAGAGAGAGAGAGAGAGAGAGAGAGAGAGAGAGATACGGGAGCCATGCTGGCTTCGGAAGACACTAATGTCCCTTGTGTCACACTTGGCCATTTGATGGCTCAAGACAGGTCCCTGCAGATGTCATATTATAAAAAGGACTTCCTTGGTATGACATCTTTGGAGCATCAAGCTGTCTTCCTCCTAGGGTCGAGGCGGGAAGCTAATTAACTCCACGATTTTCATAATGAACGTAAACCAGGGTTTGAGATGCAGAGAGTGCTAATAAGTGCTGAGGTCATCGTGATTATTCCTGAGTGCTGGAAGGAACGGTCCTTGGTATTGTTGCAGAGTTCATGACAGAAAACCTTACCTAGCTTTGGGAATGGATGGTCAAGGGAGATTTCCTTTGTTTTTAATTTTTATTTTTATCAGTACATGGATGCAATACCCAGTCACATTCCTGTGGGGAGCTGGCACACCTGCATAACACATTTTGATTCTTTTTATGTTCCTTCCCTCCCCCATCTCCCTCCATCTTTTTGGGAAGATTCCTAGGAGGGGAATGGCTGGGTTGAATGGAATTTCTAGTTTTAGTCTTTTGAGGGCTCTCCATACTGATCTCCATAGGGATTGTGCCAGTTTTCACCCAAGGAAGATTTCCTTAAGAAAGTGATGTTTCGCTCTTTCTGCAGCAGCTTCTTTGGGATCCCAGCGCGCCCGACCGTCCTCTCCGTCCGTCCCCGGGGGTCGCCGTCTACGCAGCGCTATGGCTACCCAGCAGATCGTCCTTCAGGGCCCGGGACCGTGGGGCTTCCGCCTCGTGGGCGGCAAAGACTTCGAGCAGCCTCTCGCCATTTCCCGGGTCACTCCTGGAAGCAAAGCTGCCATAGCTAATTTATGTATTGGAGATACTATCACAGCCATTGATGGGGAAAATACCAGCAACATGACGCACTTGGAAGCTCAAAACAAAATCAAAGGATGTACAGATAACATGACTCTCACGGTAACCAGATCTGAACATAAAATCTGGTCTCCTCTAGTGAATGAGGAGGGGAAACGTCATCCATACAAGATGAATTTAGCTTCTGAACCCCAGGAGGTCCTGCACATAGGAAGCGCCCACAACAGAAGTGCCATGCCCTTTACTGCTTCGCCTGCTTCCAACGCTGCCCACAAAGTCATCAAGAACCAGTACAACAACCCAGCAGGCCTCTACTCCTCTGAAAACATTTCTAGCTTCAACAGTGCTGTGGAGTCAAAGACTACAGCCAGTGAGGAGGAGGCAAATGGCCGACCCTTAGATCATTCCCAGCATTCAGGCAGCCTCATCATTGAAAAAGAATCTGAAGTTTACAAGATGCTTCAGGAGAAACAGGAGTTAAATGAGCCCCCCAAACAGTCCACATCATTCCTGGTCTTGCAGGAAATCCTGGAGTCAGAGGAAAAAGGGGATCCCAATAAGCCCTCAGGATTTAGAAGTGTTAAAGCTCCAATCACCAAAGTGGCTGCATCTGTCGGAAATGCCCAGAAGTTGCCCATATGTGACAAATGTAGTACTGGCATTGTTGGTGTGTTTGTGAAATTACGGAACCATCACCGTCACCCTGAGTGTTATGTGTGCACCGACTGTGGTACCAACCTGAAACAGAAGGGCCATTTCTTCGTAGAGGATCAGATCTACTGTGAAAAGCATGCTCGGGAACGGGTCACACCACCAGAGGGCTATGATGTGGTCACAGTGTTCCCCAAGTGATCCAGCAGCTCTGCACTGACGGCCATTCTCCACTCAACCTCTACTGTACCTGCTGTCTTGACTGGTGTGGCCTTTCTTCTCTGAGTGTACTGTGCTTCCCTTAGTTTTAGCCTTACACATTAAATGTTGGAGTTCCTTCCTAGGCTTTGTGATACCTGCTTTTACATTTATTGGAAAATGGTTTTGTTCTCTGTCCCCTTGCCAGCAACACTGTACCTTCTTTACCTCAGTTCTTTACTGAAAATGACCTTGGTCATATTTTAACCAGCCTAAATTTAGTATGTCTGATATTGATTTTGTTTTACACAATAAATATATAGGTTATAAAACAGATTTCCTTAAGAAAGTGATGTTTCAGCAGAGGGCTAGGGCAGAGAATCAGGGAGAAGAGTTTCAGGCAGAGGACGCAGCATGTGCAAAGGTCCCAAGGCTGCTGCTGCTGCTGCTGCTGGTACTGGTGCTGGTGGTGGTGGTGTGTGTGTGTGTTTGTGTGTGTGTGTGTTTGTGTGTGTGCGTGTGCAGAATGAACTAACCAGAGATCCTTGTTCAAGGGCTGGATTTCTCAGGAAGCAAAGGCAGAGTGAAACCTTGTCTAATCTGGGGGTGTTTGTGACTGAGGCAGGGCCCTGAGGTGGGCCGGTCGGCCCCTCTCATAGGCCTGAGGGACAGGAGCGGAGGACGGGGCTAACAGAGGTCTCTTACATAAGGACCCTGCCTGACCGAAGTAGGAGGAGACTGAGCACTTGGGTGTCCCAGTCCCTGCCCAGGGGATGATCTCCATCCTGGGGTGGCTGACTGTTCGCAACTCCTTCACGAAGACCTGGTCCCCAGAATTGAGGGCCAATTCAGTCCTGGAGCTCTGGCTCAGACACTAGTGGGCAGAGACCATTCTGAAGAGAATTCAGAGTGAATTCTGACCTCCTGCTACACCCAGGAAATGGCCAAGCCCCGTGGCCTGGGCTCTACCCCTTCATCTCCCAGGGCCCCAGGAGGGAGGGATCCTCCTGGTGCTGTCCCAGGGCTCTCTCTGCATTTTACATAGGCTGGCGGGTCAGTAGGGCAGAGATTTAATTTCAGCCTGGCCGGAGCCTGTGCCACCCTGGCCCTTGTGCTGGCCAACCCCGGCTGGGCCCTCTGCAATCACAGACCAGGCACACTCGGAGGCCGGGCATCTGAGTCCCACCTCCAATGGCCTGTCCATCCTCCTGAGGCCTGAGGTATCCCTGCCTTTGTAAGAATCCTCCAGAAAGTGGTCCCCACACGGGCTGGCTTGCATAACCTTTGCTGGGTTGTTACCTGATCCTTTCACTGCAAAACCAGCAAGATAGAGCCCTGGGGTCACATCTTTAAAATTTTATTTTGGATCGACCCCAGGGCCTTTGAGCCGAGCTACATCCCAGGCTCTTATTTTGTGGATGATCTACCTTTTTTTCATGATTCCCATGCCTGTGGGCAATGCCCATGGAGGCCTGGGCAGCTCTGAAGCTGGGCCAAGTGTCTGGGGCCAAAACAGTTGCAGAGGCTGGCACAGGGTATCTCTGGATCCTTCCTTCACCGCGGGCTGCGCCCTGGAGGTGGAGAGGATGGACTCCAGTCCTCACCCTCTGTGAACAGTATTGTGGGAAGACCCTTGCACGGGAGCCTCTCTGAGGGACTGAAGGAGGTGGGTGGGCCCTGTGGACGTCCCTGAGTCCTCGTCCCCTGGTGTAGACCCTTGGTGTCCCCATCTTTCTGCTCTGCTCTGAGACCAGCCTGTAGGATGGCTTTTCCTCCTGCCCTTTGAACAACTGCTCTCCTTCCTCCTGCACCTCTGGCAACTGCCCTCCACCTTGCATCTCCAGGAAGCCAGGGCTCTGGGGATCTCAGTTCAGCGCGATCATGTGGTGTGCATCTTTTGATGACTGGGTAATTTTTCTTCACAGAATGTCCCCAAGGTTCATCCAAGCCATAGTCTAGGTCAGAATTCCCTTCCTTATTTTTTCGAACGAGAAGTGTTCCACTGTATGTATGGACCACCTCTGGTTTATCTGCAGAGGGTGCCTGACCGGACCAAGGGCTCCTGTAAAGGCTGAAGCTACCACCTGCTGGCTGCTGTGAACAACACCCTGCTTTGAGGTTCTTTTCATCATCTACCCAGAATGGATTCTTCTGGATCTCACCACACTTCTACTTTTAATGTGTGGCTCCAAATGCATTATACCATTTTCTATCGCCTTCTCAAGGACCCTTGTTTTCTCTCTTTATCATTTATTGGGCGCTGAGCATCCTGATGGGGAGGAAGAAGCATCACCACTGTGGGTTTGATTGGCATTCACTTAGTGATTTGTGGCTTGGAGCAATACTGCGTGTGCTGTTGGCTACTTGTTCATCTTCTCTGGAAAAATGTCTGTTTAGGTCCCTTGCTCATTTCTGAATCAGCTCACTTGTTCTTTGGTTATTGTCGAGTTGTAGGAGTCGCTTGCCAATTGTGCACATTAGCTGGCCATCGGATATGTAATTTGTGAACATTTGCCCCATTCTGCAGGTTGCCTTTACACTCTGCTGTGGCCTTTGACTGACAGACAGTTTAAATTTTAATGTCATCCAATTGATACAATTTTACTTTCCTGGCCTGTCCATTTGGCATCAGACCCAAGAAATCCTTGCCAACTCCTGCCTCTGTATTTTCTCCCACGTGAGGCTTTCACTCACTATTTTCTTCTAAGAGTTTTAGAATTTTAGCTCTTGACTTCTTCGATCTATTTGTCATTAGTTTTTGTGTATAGTGTAAGGAAACCACCAACTTCATTATCTTACACGTGGATATTTGGTTTTCCTGGCACAATTTATTTTAAAAAATTGTCATTTCTCCATCAAGTGGTCTTGGCACCCTTGTTGAAAAGCACTTGGCCATGTGTTAGAGGGTTTGTTCCCAGAATGGGTGATTCTGAGGCCTGTGCTCCAAGGCACTCAGAGGGGACCTGGCAGGATCGAGTGCCAGCTGCCCACATGGCAACCTGCTCGCCAAGGAACCCTGGATCACCTCTCCTTCTTCGTCTCTCTTCCTCCTGCACATATGTTTCCTGGATCCATCCTCAAAAAACCTGCTCATAAGCTGTCATCTTAGGGTCTGCTGTTGAGGGGAACCCAGTGCAGAGAGAGTGTCAAGTGATTTTAAAATTCCTCTGTCTAGAGCAGAGACCCCAGATATTTTTTAAGAATCTGGTATTTGTAAGGCCTCCAATTAGCTGCTTACATCTTTTATTCCTCACACCTGCCCTAAAAGATACCTGTAAGTATCTATGTCTGATGACAGAGAAGTGAAAGTCTCCAGAGGTCAAGTTCTTTGCCCAAGGTCACAGGTGTAGTAGGGGCTGAGTTGGGACTGACCCAGGACATCTGACACCAGGTCTGGATCTCCTCCTTGCCCTCTACTGGCATCACAGAGCTCAGTGTCCGGCCTGTGCTGGCCTCTGGACCCACAGGGAGCTGGACAGAGTGCCTAGGCTACCTACCAACTCCAGGGGACACTGCAGGGCTCCAGGGGACACTGCCATCCTGTCCAGGACACAGATGGATTCTCTGCAGGGGAGCAGGGTATGGAGAAGGCCCAGGGCCAGGGATGTGTGCATTTTACCGTGGCCGTATGCAGCAGGCACGGTTGTTGCCCACACAAGCACATGCCACCCCTACCTTCTCTGTCCCTTGCTGTCCTGCTTTCTAGCACCCAGTGCTGGCCTGGATCTGAGAGTCTTTCTGAGTTGCATGTTATGGACACAGCCCCTGCCCCCAGTGTGCAGTCCTCCCCGACTAGCTGGACGGGCTGATGGCAGTACAACCCAGGTAGACCTAGCTTGCTCACTTGCGTGCACAAGCTGATATGAACAGTCACAGATGAGGTGTGTGTGTGTGTGTATGGGTCCCTGGCCAGTGGGTGGCTGTGGGAGTTTTCCTAGGGTAGCTAACCATTGGCTCATCCTGTCAATGCCAATAGAAAAGCAGGGCTCAGGCTTGGCAGAGGTGAGAGGGACACACAGACTGGTTGTCTCTGCAACAGGCTCTCTGGGGTGCAATGTGAGGGACCTGCTGTGGCCTCTTATGGGTCAGGTGCTGGGGCTGCTTATAGAGGGCTCATTCTTCATGAGGGTGTGCTAGGGTTTAGATCTAGAACGTCCCCCAAACTCCCATGTGTTTGGAAGGTGATTGGGTCACCAGGGTTACACCGATGGGTTCAAAGAGGAAGGTGCTGTTAGGAAGTAGGGCCTGGGAGGAAGAGGTGGTCACTGGGGGTGTAGCCTGGAAGGGTTACTCTCCCTCCCCGGCTCCACCCTTTGCTCTCTACTTCCTCACCACCATGAAGTGAGCACCTTCTCTTCCGCCAGGCCCCTCTGCCATCCTGTTTCTGCCTTGGAGCCAACTGACCATGGACTGAGACTGTCAGCCAGCCAAATAAACCTCTCCTCCTTTCAGTTGTGGGTGTTGGATGTTATGTCACAGCAGAGGGAAAGTAAGATAGACTATGAGCCTCCAACCTTAATCCCTGCAGTCTTCCTGTGCCTGCTGAGGGTGGGGCTGATGTCCAAAGATACTCAGTGCAGAGCAGGGTGACAAGCACAGCACAGGCTGCAGTCGCCTAGGGACGTGCTCACTCTGTGGAATTGGGCACTGTGCCTGCACTGTGCCTTTATTTATCTGTTGATTTTTTCTTTATTTTTGCAGTGCTGGGCACAGAACCCTCGGCCCCCTGCACTCTAGGCAAGCACTTGCCACTGGGCCACACCCCGCCCGGGATGGCTCCTTCACCACAACCCCTCACCCTGGCCCAGGGGACTTTGCCGGTCAGCTCTTTCCCTATATTTTGCTGTCTCGTGAGATAGACAGCAGGAAAAGAAGTGGTCTGGCTGTCCGTGTTGTGAGTGGTGCCTTCCCAGAACAGCATCCTGCGAGGACAACCTCTACTTTCCTGGCTCAGGAGTGGAGCAGGCAGCATGGCACAGACGGTGGGGCCTACAGTAGGGTCGCCCCAGGGGTGTGTTACCCGGGGAAGTGACAGCTGCGGAACTTAGAAGCAGAATCCCTGCGTGGCCCATGGTGGGCTTCCTGGCGGTGTGGCTGGCCAGGTCGGTGCCTCCTCACTGGAGCCTGTGGCACTGATGACAAAGGTCAGGGGTCCTCCTGCAGGTTGGCACTGGGCTTGTTCCTCCTTAGAGGAATGGAGAAAGAACAAATCCCAGAAGAATCAGTCACTCACCACCAGATCTTTATTTAAGATTGCAGCACATTTTCTTCAAGTCTTTTAAAAAAAACCACATGGTGTTCACACATTCTGCTTTTCTGACAACACCAATTTTGCATGTTTTCCTAGGCCGCTAAAATGTCTGCATCCATTCCATCTTTGACCTCTGGTGGGGCCATTGTATCTGTGACCTTCCCTAACGGTGAGGCGCCTGTTTGCCTCCTCCCTTCTTTGACCCAGGAACACACTCTGCTGTGCTCATTTTTTATACCAGACCCTGCTTCGCTCTGCTTGCTGGGTCCTTCTGGGGACACTGCCTGGCTGTTCCTGGCCCCCAGGGATACGGCTCTTGGATTCCCCACCTGCCCCACTTACTGAGCTGTTTAGGCCAGCTCTGCTTCTGAGCTTTTGGTCTTGGTGTATGCACTCCCGTGGGCACCCTCTGTCCTGGGCACTTTGTACCACGCCCCCTTCTTGGTGACTGAACCAAGCCATGCTCACAGCCCAAAGCACTGAGGAACTGATGGTGGAGTCCCTGCCCCGCAGCTGAGAAGGCTGGGAAGTGGGGGTTGGAGTTGTGTTTCCATCCTGGGAAACTGATTTGAGTAAATGAATGAGTGATGGTGGATAAACAGTGACTGCGAACATGGGGAGGGTTGGGGGCAGCTGAGGGACACTACTGTCCACCACACATGGGAACCCCTTCCTCAGTGCCTGCAAGGAAGAGCTCGTGATTCTCACAAGATAGGCGAGGCACAGCGAGGGACACCATTCATCAGGGCCACACAGCCGCAGAGGAGGCGCTGGGGTCCGAAGCCAGTTCTGTCTGCCTGCAGCCTCTGAGCAGATGACATGGCCATGGCAGGAGCCCCACTGCACAGGGTAACCCGGGGGAAGCCACCCTGACCACCCTGACCCCAGACTGGGCCTGGGGATGGAAAGGCGGGGGGACCTCCAGGTCCCAACTTCCCAATAGGAGAAGGCATCTCCACCCAGGGTCAGCTCACTAGGCAGGTCTCGGGCAGAGAGGGCAGCTGTCAATCGTCCCTTTTCTGAGTCCCTGTACCTCCTCTGCAGGTGTTTTGTCTGCTCCTGAAGGTCAAGGATGGGTCAGGCTCTCTCCTGTGATAGCTGTCATATTTTCAGCACGGAGTTGTATGTGAATGAATCCCATTTCACACTCTAATGGAGATGGAAATCTATTGGCTCATGTTCCTGGAAGTCCAGCATGGTTCCAGGCATGTCTGGATCCAGGTGCTCAGATAACGCCTCTCCCCCTACTGGTTCTCTGTCAAGTTCAGTCTCTGGTGGACTTTTGCTGTGTGGTAACCAAGGAACTCATCAGTGAATGCAAGTGGTCGCTTTCCCGTAAACATCTTGTCCCCTGTGCTGCTATACAAGTCCTGAGAAGGGTTTGTGGGGGCCTGAATCCTGTACCCATCACTGGCCCGTGAACAATGCACCTGAGCAGGCGTGGTCTGGATCCAGGGTTGGCACAGTTCATTTGGTCACAGCACCCGGAATAGGAGAGAGTGTGTTCCCTAAAGGAAGCCTTTCTGTCAGTAAAGGGACAGAGCCCAGCTGGCACAGAGCAGGTGCCTGCTGCTGGTGCAGGCCCTGGCTGCCCTCCCCGGGCCACCTCAGAGGTCTGGCCGCTCTGGCTCCTGACTGTACCTGTCTCTCTGGCCGCATTCACCCTAAGCCTGCCAGTGTATTCCACAGCTGCTGTCAGCTTCTGGGGGCCGAGTTGGCCAAGGGCAGTGGCAGGCACAGGTCGTCACGGCTCGGTGGGCAGGGAGGGCCTGAGCAGGTGCAGGTGAATATCACCTGGCAGGAGGGACAAGTGCAGGTCAAGCGTGTCCAAGCCAGGTGGCAGATGGCTGATTAGACAAGACCTCAGCTGGCCACTCAGTGAAGAGGGAGTCCATGGCATCTGCGGTGGGGACCTGTAGCCCTGCTCTGAAGAGGCTCCATGAGAGACCCAGGGCCTTAGAGATGCGTGGAGCTATGTGGACCCTCCTAGGGACCCCACTGGGGCCAGGAGGCCAGATAATTGGGCCGGCTTCCTGGAGGAAGGGCCCCAGAGAAGTCACTGAGGAGCACTCAGGAGTTAGGAAGGGCTGGGTCTATGACCCTGCAGCTCCACATGATTGGAGAACCTATGGGGTCCCTAGGAGGAAGCACCTTTCCTCACGGTCAGGCCTGGGATGGGAAGGCAGGACCGCTCGGCTCTGTGACTCCCTCCAGCCTGGACCCAGGGTGCCCAGATGGGCTCGCGACGGGCGGAGATGCTGGCCAAGCCATGGCTGCTGGGATCCTGGTTCTCACATTGGTCCTGTTTTTAACCCACAGTGCACCCACTCTGAGAAATCAGAATGAGTCAGACATGATATAATTTTGCGAACTGTCTAGAGCTCATTGGAGCTCCATGGTGTGTGCAATCCTGGCTGGAAGTCCTGGGTCTGGGTGGGCGGCTCACACAGTCCGCTGCAGGTCGTGCTGCGTGACCATGCAGAGGATTCCAAAGGGCCTGCTGAATCAGGTTCCCCCAGAGCCATGGTGGATCCCAGAGATAATTTGGAGAAGCCAGGCACTGCTGTCCTTCCGCATGCAGAAACTGAGGCCTGAGCGGAAGCAGCTTGCTCAGAGCCTAGAGATTAGGAGACAGGAATGGTGAGGGCGGTCCTTTTGGAGCTGACCTTGGGAGCAGTTGTCATGCAGGAAGGAGGAAAATTAGGGCCTGGATCGGGTGCTGGGCAGCGGGAGGCCACACGAGTGAGTTCCATGTGCTCTCTCAAGGTCACCTTCATGAAGTGCCACCATACAGAAAACAGTTCCTGGCTCGGGGCAGCCACTGCTGCCTCCAGACTGTGCTCTCACCGCCCACCCGGTCTGACCCCTCCCAGCTTAGCTGCCTGCCAGGTCAAGGTGGAAAATGGAATCATAAATCGAGTTACACTGGGGCGCAGTGGGGGTCATCTTGTTGGGTGATTTCGACAATATGCACATAAATTCCCACCGTGAGGGATGCCCTTTGCACCCCATGCCACTCAGCATGGGCTGCAGGGTGAGGAATAGCTCAGCGCAGCTAGTACCCATCGGAGGCCCTAGCTCTGCCTCCATTGCAGGTCCTGCCCTGGCTCCCTCCACCCCTTCCTCTCAGGGCTCCCTAAAGAACATGTCCACCTGGGCTCCGCCTGGGGTTCTGTGTCTAGGAAGCCTGAATACCGGCTTGGGTGAGGAAGGGAAGCAGTTTGATGGCCAGGATCCAAAACACCCCCAACAGGCTCACTGAGCGAAGGCTTCATTGCCAGCAGATGTGCTTCTGGGGAAGAAATGGATCGTAAGAGTTGTTAGGCATCTGTGGTTAATCCACTGATGTGATCATAATTAAACGGCAGTCATGGGAAGTAGCTGAAGCCGGCACTGGGCCCAGCTGAAGGGAGTAGGTCACAGGGGTGTGGCCTTGGAGACTGTCTCTGCCCCTGGCACCTTCCTTGGGGACTTTTCCTGTTCTCTGCTGCCTGGTCACCATGAGGTGAGCAGCTTGCTTTCGCCACACCCTTCCACCATCATGGTTCCGCCTCACCCAGTCACCATGGACTGAAACTCCCAAACCCAGGAGCCCAGAGAAACCTTCCCTCTTCTAAGTTGTTTTTTTCAGGTGTTTGCTCACAGAGATAAAAAGCTGACTAACACACAGCAAACAAGATGTTAGGAGGTCTGAATTTGAGAGGAGCTGGGACCGGAGGGTGCTGGGGTTGGTAGGTGAACCAGAACTGGGCAGTGTGGAGCCAGGGGTGTCAGGGTCCTAAAGCTCCTAGGAGCCCCTCCCCACCCTCCCCTAGCTCCCATGGGTGCAGGGCATCACTGTCTTGTAATATTCTCAGGGACACAGGATGGTTTTAGGTGGACACTGAGCTAAACGTCCATTTCAAGAGAGACATACCTAGGTTCTAAGATTATAGAGAACAATGATCCACAAACAGAAGGTGGGATTTCCAGGCTATTATTTCTTAGAAGTATTTCATCAACAAAGAATGAGGAGGAATCGCCACTGACTGGTGCTCAGCTTTGCTTCAGTGATAATGAAAATTAAAACTGAGGCATTGGGCATGAACGTGTAGGGAAAGGCTTTCACTGAAAAGTAAGAGAAAGAAGGGAGCACAATTCTGACAAAAATCAAGCTGTTCCCTAACAGGGAAGCAAGAGAAGGTAGAAAAACAGCTTCTGCTTGAGAAATGGAAGGGGGCACAGCTTGGAAGAGGGGACCTTTTCACAAAGGAGAGGACACCAGCTTTGCAGGGTGCTGGTGTGGGCTGGGGTGTGGTCAAGTCATTCTCTCATACTTATTTCGCAGCTCAGGGATCCAGGGTTGATTTAGTTCCCTGAAATGATCATTCTTACCTGGGGAGTGACCTCACTGAGGAGTGGTCTGCAAGGCCCCGCTTTTCCGGGATCCAGGTGACTGCCGGTTTGGGGCAGTGGCTGGAGACTTGTAGACGTTGCTAGGGTGGGGAGCCTGGAACTGAGCATGGTAAATGCACGTAATCAGGTGTCCTTGTAAATCCTGAACATAGTTCCTCTTTTCTTGGTGTCCTGGGTCTTAGGGAGATGAGTTGGACGAGGCAAGCTTTGGGCTAATTAACCTTGAAAAGCTAACTTTCTCTAAACAATGGTCATATATCCAAAGTTTTAGAGTAATGAAGGATATGAAGTGAAAGTCAGGCTTTGCTTGGCTTTTAGTTACTTATTGGGCAACTGGAGGCCCAAGTGAAGATTTTAGTGAACAGGGAAATGATTTCTAACCAGAAGCAGCCTGTACTGCAGCTAACTGGGTAGCAAGCAAAAGACTCCTCCTACCTATGACCCCTCCTGCACCTAAAATATGTCCTGGTCTCACTCAGATTTGCCCAACATGTTTTCCTCCATTGTCCTTTGTTCTCAGTAGAGTTTCTGTGACCCCTGCTTCTCGCCTTATGTAAATAAAGTGAATCCTAGTGTACCTTTCTATCCAATTGTATAAGCTGAATGTATCTACTTCAACTAATGAATTAATGTTAAGCGTCTTGCCACTGTATCCTCACCTGGTTAGATTATCCTTGCCTTAAAATGGCTGCCACATGGAATAGCAGCCTCCATGTTAAAATATGGCTTCTCCCAACAAAGGACAGGCTTCTTCTTCCCAACATGCATCTCTTCCTGCCAAAAGAGAAACCTGATACTTGCTCCCTCTTAGCAGCAGGTGATGTCACAAGCCTCTCCTAGTGATGTCATAGGCTCCTCCAATATTTTAATGCTACCTCACTCAACCCCACCCCAGCTCAGGCTAACCCCACCCTGCTCTTATAAAAGATGCTCCCTGTTCCGCCACGTTGCTCTCTCTCTCCTTTGTTCAGACACAGCCCAGCAGATCCTCCCCATAATAAAGGCTTGTTATGGTCCTGGTCTGGTTCCAGTTTTGGGTGTTCACCACCCAGGACTGATCTTTGTGGAGAAGTCCCCAATCAGTGTGCTAGTGAAATGAACCTGCCTTCAACTTCCATGGTATGTGCTTGATTCATCTTGGCCTGACTCTGTTATACCACCTAGAGGTAAAGCACTGTGAGTCATATTTGCTACAACATCAGCAAACTCCACTTTTAATCCCTGACTGCCTCGGAAGGAAACACAGATCCTGTGCTCAGTAAAGGTTAAGGACCTGGGAGTTTCTTTGTCCCCTGTCTCTAGTGTAGTGTTTAACTGCATCAGAACACTGGCAATGGCCTGTGGAAGTGGTACACATCTGAAAGACAGAAGTTTGAGAAATCTGGTGATTAGAGGAGGATTCTGAGATTCCTTCAGCTTAACTGGAAGGATGAAGGTAGAGGGGGGAAAAAGGGGGTGAGGAATCAGTCAATAGCTAGGCCTATAACCCTAGCTCAAATCCTGTCACACCTCCCTGGCACTACCAGGTCATCATCACAACCTGGCCACCTAGATGCAGTTAGGACTTCTGTCACCATGCCCACAAGGTTTCCACTTCAGGTCTCCTCTCACTACAGCCAATGCAAGATTGACACAAATAGCTTGTGCCTTCCTTCCCCAGATTTTCCTTTTAAAAATGCTCTTAGATCTGTCTGCCCAGCCTTGTTGCTAAAGGTGGTGGGATCTTTTTCTGGTTGGCATCTGTAATGGTTCTCAAAGCCCTTTAATTTCCCAGACCACCTTGGTCTAATAGTGGGTTTAGGGCTATGGCTGTGGGGTTGGATTGAGGTGTCTGTGATCAGGGCCTGGGCCAGCACCATCCCTGCTGCATGTGGAGGCAAAGCTACCTCTCCTTTCTCCCTAACCCTAGTGCTTTGAGGCGTCACTGCTTCCACAACTGTAATTCCCAGGACTGACTTCCAGTCCACATTCTGGGGTGCATGTGGTTGCCCCAGGTGGGGCTCCATATGTTCACAGGCCTAGCAGGACCCCACCACATCCTAGGGCACCCTGGGTACCTCACTCTATCCACGGTGAAGTTCAAGAACATAAGGCCAGGACTGGCCTGGGATCCTGGGTCCCACCCATATCCGCTCCATGCTCCTAAGGAAGTCCCACTTCATCCTTTTGCCAAAACCTAGCTTCCTCATGGTTTCAAGTGCTCCGAATGAAGAAATTTGTGTTGCTCCTTTAAGAAAAATGAACTGCTCCACTCAGCAGAACACAGGCAAGGAGAGCTGAAAACTAGGTAGCCAAGCAGCTCCATTGTATGCAAATCCTGTACCTGCCAGGAGGGGGATGGGCACCGCCTGAGGAAATAAGACACACAGCTGGTGCAGCCCTAGAACTGTACACTCTGAATGTGGGGGATGGGAAACAGAAGAGCACCTGAAAGGGAACGAAGGTTGGGGGGTAGCAGTTTAGGGGTAGCAGCTTGCTTGTGGGGCACGTAGGAAGCTCTAGATCTGGCCCCCACCCTTAGTGCCAATTTTTTTTAAAAAGTAAAGAAAGGGCAAAAAGCAAAAACCGTGCTTGTGGAGAGCCCACTGTGTTCCCCAGTAGATGGGGCTTGAGTAATTGATCAGCTGCTCACAGTGGCCCTGTAAGTGGTTTCCCCCAAGGCCTGCTGGGCACAAGGTGGGCTCTGGCTCTGCCCCCTGCCACGAGTGGCCACAGAGTCCTGGAGATGCAGAGAGCCAGAAATGAGGTGTGCATGCTATTTCCAAGACACAGTGCTCCAAAATATAAAAACAAAACCCAAAACCAAAACCCTCCATTCCTTTTCTATTAATTAGATAGTGAAGCAATGATATTTTAGATCTGTTTAATAAGCCATACAGTGAAAATTAATTCAGTTGTGCCTTTCTTACTTTGGAAAGGTGTGGCTACCAGCAAATTTAAAGCCGAGCTAGTGGCTTTTATGATATCCCCTCAGGTTGGAGTATGTGAATAAATGATTTCTGTTTTTATGACAGGCTGGGCTGCTTAGAGAGAAAGAGGTTTATTTCTCACAGTTCTGGAGGCTGGGCATCCAGGATGAGACTTCATTCCCCATGATAATGCAGCAGGCAGCAACCTGTGGTCAAAGTGGGTATGAGAGAGCCAGAGAGGAGAGGAGGGTGCAGAGGGTTCAGAGAGGAAAGAGGGAACCACACTGCTCTCTTTTATAATCAACCCACTTCAACGGATGAAGGCCTGAATCCATTCCTGAGCTCAGAGCCCCAAGACCTAAATACCTCCCAGGAAGCCCAGCCTCTTAATGCCATTACCACAGTAACATGGATGTGGGAGGGGACAGGCAGTCCAGCTGTCACTTTCACGATAGCAAAATGGAACTTTGAAAGTCTTATGTTTTCCTGTTTGGAGACAAGTGGCTTCCCAAACGTCCTTAGGGATAAGGTGTACAAGCCACCCCATCTCCTCAGCCTGGATGGAGTGACAGATGATGCAAAGCTGGCCCAGCAGCCAGGGTCCCTTCCACAGGGGTGATAAGACAAAGCAAGCCTGGAGATATATCTTCTCTCACTCTGTTCCCTTCCCTCTGTCCCTTGTTGTGTCACATACTTGTACAGGGCAGATGGTGATTTGAGGTGAATAAGGCCCTTCCATTTCCTCAGAGCCAGCTTTGAATAAATCCTTTGTCCTATTCACCAAAATAAATGGTCTCCTTTGATTCAATGAGAGGCTCACAAATGAACCTGAGCATACAGTCCTAAGTAGCCACAGAGCATAACGTGCAAATCTCCCTGAACTGAGTCAGGCTACTGCCTTGGGGCTGTGGGGCAACATTCCTGGTGGCGGTTGCCTCCTGTCTGGAGGCTGTTGAGCGGGTAATGGTTGCGCTTGTCCTCTGCAGCTGTTGTGAGGTTCAGTGAGGTCCTTGTCATTGCCAAGGTTGAGAAGTAATGAGATTCACACATAGGTGCCTCCCTGCTGCTCTGGATCCATGGTGGTGAGGATGAAGGTGGATGGGTGCACCATGCGACTGGCAGGGGTCAGTCCTGCACACACTGATAATGACAACCTCCACCGTCAGGGAGGAGGGGGTCCCACACTGCACCTGCTTGGGGTCTTGAGCCAGTGAGCCAGACGTGGGAGGAAGTGGGGCTGGCTCTGAAGGAGGACAGGCACGGGGGCTTTGGTGCAGTGACAGCTGGGTGGCCAAGGCATCTGTGAGAAGCGCTCTGGCTTCTGTGGAAGCCCCATTTCCTCTGATGCACCCTGAAACTCCATTCCTGCTCTGAGAGAAGCAGAGAAACAGTGGCCTTGGGTAGTGGCCTCCCATCACAGAGGAAATGGCCTTGTGCCCCGAGGCATCCACGATGTCCCCAAGAGAGGCACCCAGAAGAGGTAAGGGGAGCAGGCCTGAGCCATGCTGGCTCCTGAACCTCCCCTGGGTCCCTTTGACCCTGGATTCTGAGCTTGTGCTCCCTCCTGTGACTTCAGCACGAGTTTTATTATTCTCTTCCCAGACCAGCATGTGCCTTGTGTTGAGAAAGGGTACATCTCCCAGAGGGGGGTGAAATGACAACTAGGTAAAAGAAGTCACTGGGTCCCTCATTCATCTTTTGATTTCAGCAGGAGGTACCGTGAAGTCATTGGTTCCCAGACAGCAGACACAGCAGGGCTGGCCTCAAGTGGGGAGTGGGCACATTCTGGGTCAGCTGCTCATCCTGGGGAAATGGGAGCTCTGATCATCCAGGCTGGCTTAGTTTTTGAGAAGAAAGAAATCCACATTCAGGTGTAAAAAATCTAATTTCAAACTATTACCAAAAGTTCAATAACAGTGATGATGGTGACAACAGGATTATATGGGCCAAATGAAGCCAGTTGTGGGTTGAATCCACTTGTGACCTCTTTCTGCAGGTTCTGATATACGGACCACATTTTTTCCCAGTACTGAAGATTGAACTCAGCCTTCACACTGAACTACACCCCAGGCCTTTTTCATGTTTTATTTTGAGGCAGGGTCACTGCTTTGCCCAGGCTGTGCTTGAAATTGTGATCCTCCTGCCTCAGTCTTTCAGAGTCAATAAATTGTTTATAGGGTACAACCTGGACCCTGGGCCCCTGCACCCCACTACAGGCTCTGACCTGATTGGAAAAGGCTCTAGTTTGGTCTAGTTTTCCTGGTCTGGTCTTTTCTAATCTGGTTGGCACTATTTGGTCTAGTCTGGTAATCTGGTATGATCTAGTGTGGCCTAGCTGGGTCTTGTGCAGTTGCTGTGGTCTGGTCTGGTCTGGTCTGATCTGGTCCAACCTGGTTTGGTCTATTCTGGCATGAGTCTGGTTGGCTCTGGGCCAGTGATTTATCTGGTTGGAGTTGCCTAGTCTAATCTGGACTGGTTTTACCTACTCATCATTCACTGACTACCTCCTCCAAGAGGAACTGGGCTGAGCAAAGGGTATCATAGAAGACTAGCAATTTAATGCAGGAAACAAGCTCCCTGTCTGATGGGTACTGGGAGGGGGTGAAATTATGATCAATAAAAAAATCATGTAATGAGGCCTCAGAGAGGAATTAGCATACACTGGACCATGTTTTCTTGTTATTCTCTGTTTTCTTCATCACAGCACCTGTGGACTTGTGGTGTGTGTGGGGGCATCTGCACCTTCCCCACTTGCCCAATCAAAATGTTATCTTGCATCTAGTTCCAT